TTCCATATACAAGCCCATAGACAATTTCGTTTGTAATGTCATTCTAGATAATATTTTCCATAAATCATCGACTGCCGCCAGAAAAAAGAAAGGCACCAATTTTAATCAATGCCCTTTATTTATTTTGTTGCAGACATAGTTGACTTGTTCTTTCCAGTCTAGATGTTCATTTATAAATACTCCCAAAATCTTTGTGTTGTCTACTTGCGTAATTTTAGGTATATCCATTAAATTTACTGTTAATATGATTTATTGAATTGTACGTAAACAGATTTATTAAGATTGATGGATAGGTTATTATTATCGAGCCAGTTGATTAAATTATCTATTGAGTTGTTTACATGTATTTCGTGATCTTTAACGGAGTCATGTTTTTTATCATTAGTGAAAATTCTGGAAATATCGTCGGAAAAAAGAAAGTAGTAGTTTTAAATATTGTATAACACAAGTAACAAACGCTCTAGCCACCCCTACAATATTGAAAACTTCCCCTCTGTTTCCATGGGACCCCACCATCAGATCCAGACCTGGTGGAAATGACGCCGAGCTTCACTGACAGACAGCCGGACATACAATTCAATTTTTGACGTTTCAAAAGTGCCTATTGAGAATTAATCGAAATAAATGCTTTGACTTTGAATACCAACCGAGAGTATGGAGTGATTGCAGACCATACACAAAAAAAACCATACTCGCATATAGTTCGCCGAATTAAGAACCTTCTACTTTTTTGGAAGTCGGATAAAATAAAGAAAAACCACAAACTTGTATAAGTACGATGTAAAGACAAACTATTTAATAGCAAAAATATTTTTACAAATGTTTTCCTTTGACATCGTTTTAATTAATAACTAGACTCGATCCATCTTTCATGGAAACAATCACAAAATTCTGATAAGTCTTTATCATAAAATAAGAAGTCAACTTTGACAGTCGCAAAAACCAATTGCCTACAGTACAATGAGAGGTAAATAAAGTCGGGAACTGTTTATAACAGATTGTTGAGACATTGCGACTTATATAATTTGAAAAGAAAACATAAAAATATAAAGTCGGGCTTTCAGGAATGTTAATAACTGATTAGATACATAAACTATTTAATTGTACCTTTGTATAATATGAAAACATTTTTTGTATATTATTATTATAAAATTTATAATTAATGATACTCTTTATAAGAGAGTGCAGTTATACATTTTTTACGTAAATGTTCATAATAAGTAATAGGGGCATGTAGACACACGTCAAAGTTGGCTTCTTATTTTGTGGGGATTACGCAGTAGTCAAACTAATCTATCGAAATATTGACAAATTTCGTATTGAAACTGTGTTTACTTACATAAATAATCAAACATTATCGGTCGATATCGGTCAATCAAATAAATGCCAATAAAATCACTGAATTTCACATGAAATACACACAGTTATGTATTCCACAGCAAAGGTTAGGCAACAACAGTAGTCTGCAGTCGGCACGCCGGAACTGATCGGAAGATTGCCAATTATTTAGAAACAATGATTATATCGACATCGCCGTGAGCATCGCTTTCGTCAAAACAACAAACGAGGGTAATATCACAATAGCACTTAAGATAATATCAATTACTATACTATATAGTCTCCTTACAATACTAAAACAACAAGTCCGCTGACGAAATATAACAGAACAATAAGGTCATCATCGAGGTAGAGTGGTGAGCTGGCAGGCCGCTAGGCACCGAAGCCGGGCGGCGGCCCCAGCAACGATGGCGGCGGGCCGCACGCGGGCGGTTGAGCGGCCCACGGCGCGGGCGGCGGCGCGGCCCAGGGCGCGG